TGTAGGCTACAGCAAATATTTTAAAAGGAAATTCATATGTCTGCACAAAAACCTATCCACAGATGTTTATTGCAGTTTTATCCATAACTGGCAAAACTTAGAAGTAACCAAAATGTCCTTCAGTAGGTAAATGGATCAATAAACTGTGCAACATCCAAACAGTGGGATATTATTCAGCACTGAAAATAAATGAGTTATCAAGTCATAAAAAGACAGGGATTAACTTCAAATACATATTAATAAGTAAAAGAAGGCGATCTGAGAAGGCCACATATTGTATCATTCCAACTGTATGACATTCTGGGAAAGGCAAACCTATGGAGACCGGAAGGATCAGTGGTTGTTGGAGGTGGGTGAGGGAGGTAAAGAAGCGGAGCACAGAGGATTTTTAGGGCAGTGAAAATACTCTGCATGGTATTATAATGATGGACACATGCCATCATACATTTGTCCAGAACCACAGAATATATAGCACAAGGAGTGAACAGTAATGTAAATTAAGGGCTTTGGGTGATTATGATGTATCAGTGTAGGTTCATCAGTCTTAAATGTACCATTCTGGTGGGGGAATGTACATAATGGGGGAGGCTATGTATGTGTAGGGGCAGAGGGGTTATAGGAAATCTCTGTACCTTCCTTTCTTTCAATTATGCTGTGAACTTAAAACTGCCCCCCAAAATTAAGTCTAAAATAGCAACAACAAAGGGCGAATTCATGACCTGCCTCTGCCTTGTCCTGATATCAAGAATCTTCTTAAACTAACTGATATAATTTTGATGTACTATTAATTCACACAAACATAACTGTATTGTATAAAGAAGACATTGATTTGTTGTGTGAGTGTTCCAGCAACAGTATGCAGAAGTATCAGATTCTAGTCATGGTAAGGATCAACTACATCGTCCACAGAATTCCTAAAATCTGGTCAAATACCATGTTCAAGATCACGTCAAAAGGCCTAGAGGGGACTGACAACATCATGTGTGGGATCCATTGTCTTACAAGACAGTGTCTGAATTCTAAATTCTCATTTTATGTGTTGTGTAACATTGTGCAATGATCTCATTGAAGAGAGGCTTATTTGTAAAACTAAAGGTTAATCGTGGAATTGCTGTCAAAATATGTACTACACTTTAATAATCTTCTTCCTCCTTTATAATTCATTTCAAACATGTATGATTGATTTACCATTTAAGAAACTGAGAACTCTGGCAGGGAATGAAACAACTATGCCATGATTGATACTTGCTTTGTATTGTGTTTCTGTCTCCTATTCTGATTCATGATTCTGGTTAATTAATGTTATAATATTGACTTTTTCAAGTGACTGAAGTGAAAGGAAATCTTTCCTATGAGGAAATTCTGTAATACGCTCAGATCATCTGATGTCACCCAAAAAACTGTGAAATGTCTTTTCACTTCCGGTGTCAGAGAATAGCGTTAGAATTAACTTCTAATTCAAACACCCCCCACACACCTCCTTATAAGATTAAATTTAAAAAGATAAAATAATATGCTCAGGAAAAGCATAAAATCAATATTATTAGGATCTGAATTAGAGTGGATTAAGAGACCAAGAAATTGCTTATCACTTGTTTTCTGCACAGGAAAGAATAAAATGAAATATATTTCACAACACCACTATCACAAAGATTTTCAGCCTATAAGAAAAGAGAAAGTCTCAACTTCCCAGAAGTAATCTGAAATGGGACACACTTTTCAAAATATCACATGGAAGTGTTGGAAAATTTGAAAGTAGTGGAAATTGATAGGGTCTAGTCTCCTGTGAAATTGAGCAATGCATATTCCTTAGCTTACAAAGAAGAATAAAATAGATCAGTATCAGTCAAAACCTAAAGTCTGCAGTGCTATCAGCCTAGAAGAATAAACAAAATATATTATGCTGTTGCTATGGGAACAAATTCCTCTTGGGTGTAAGAGAAATTTCTTTTAACAAAAATTCAACTTGAACCACTAATATAGGAACAATTGTAATTTTCAAAGGGAAGGAGAATTAGTAGATATAGGTATTCATTGAAAGAATTTCTTTTCAGTTTGGATTTTATAAGTGTTGTGACTTAAAGCCTTGAGACTTCCCAATTATGGTCAAGAAACTGAGCCACCTTGGGCAGTTAGTAGATAATTTTCTTATATAAAAGAGAAATGTCAAATTCAGAATACTTATTAGGTAAGTCATTCATGAAAACTGCTCTTTAGAAACCACATTTACACTCTCACTAAGATTATAACATTACTCCAAATGCTCTTTATTAGAATTTCTTTCTTCAAAACACAAAATTAAAAGAATGGAAATGCAGGTCACTAAATGTGAGATAATATTTGAAAAACACATAACTGATATATAGATAATAATATATATATATATATATATATATATATATATATATATATATGATTGTGTAAATCAAGAAAGACAACCTGACTGAAAAATGGGCAAAAGATGCTTAGCCAAAAATATATGTAAAAAGGTGCTCAACTATATTAACAATCATGTAAATGCATGTTCAGAAAGAGGAATGAGACATAGCTACACACTCACTTAAATAGTTCTAAGGGAAATACTGGCAAAGCTAAGTGCTGCTGAAGATATGGATCTATAGGAACTCTCAAACACTATCAATGGGAGTCAAAATCTTCCAGTTGATAAAATTCTTAGAAATATTATGGCTAAATTGAACATGTTTATACCCAATGGGAATGTGTGTACACATTCATCAAAATACAAATGAGAATTTCTATCAAAATATTATTTTTTTAACATTTATTTTTGAGAGAGAGATAGAGAGACAGAGCGTGAGCAGGGTAAGGGCAGAGAGAGAGGGAGACACAGAGTCTGAAGCAGGCTCCAGCCTCTGAGCTGTCAGAACAGAGCCTGATGCGGGGCTTGAACCCACGAACTGTGTGACCATGACCTGAGCTGAAGTCGGATCCTCAACTGACTGAACCACCCAGGTGCCCCCCTATCCAAATACTATTAATAATTATCAGAAATGGAAAACAACCCAAATGTTCATCAACAATAGAATGGATAAATAGTGGTAATTGTACTGTAGGATACTGGACATCAAAGTAAATCAGCTAACTAGAGATGTAAACAACATAAATAAATAACATAATACTTAATCAATGAAGCCAGATTCAAAAGAATATACATTATACAATTCCTTCATATACAGTTTTAAGTCATGCAAAATGTATTATGAAATTAGAAGACAGTACAAGGTTACCTTTGAAAAAACAGGGTGGTGTTGGGAGGAGACAAGAGGGAGGCTTCTGCAGTGCAGGGAATATTCTGATCCATGATCTGGATGAAGTTTATAAAGGGTTTTCTTACAATAATATGTTTAGAGGTATGCTTATGATATCAGCATTTCTCTGTATGTGGGTTTTCGAGTTTTAAAATATTAATTGCAAATTAATTCAAAGCATCTTAAAAGAACACATATGGTCACTTTGTTCATTTCTCTCCTTTCAGGAAAGACTACAACCAATTGATCTCAAGAAAATAATATTCCATGGCTATTGCATACCCTGCAAGGAAAGGAATGAACATCAGAAATTTCCTTTGAATATTATCTACAATGGTCACAGTGAAATAGTAAGTAGCCTCTAAGTCAAAATACTTGAATGTGTTCTGACCTTCATTTTTCTTCTTGGATTAACCTATGCATGGCACCAGAAGAGACAAATATTAAGTATCTGTTTATATCAGCCTTGCATGTGCTGGCTATTCTATCAAAATTTAGTGACTTCTGGGATACTGCTGGAAGTTTTATATTTTGAGATACTGTATTATATAACAGTTGAAAACAAGGTGGGGGGGTGGTTATTCAGGAAGGGAGATTAAGCTTCAAGCCTTAGTTCAGCCCTAACAGTTGTTTGACCTTGGCCAGGTGGCTTTACCACCAAATTCCTGATGTTTTTATTGGGAAAGAAGTCATTGTACAAGTACTAATATTGTATGGTTCTGAATGATCAGTGCAACAATACAAATAAAACACATATCAATCTCAAGATTCATGGCACCCTGAAAATGCTAATAAATATAATTACATTAAATTATAATAAAAATGTATCATTTATAATAAGAAAAGCATTAAGTATCAGTGGAAATCTACTTATCTCACAATTGTAATATGCTATATGTAATTAGTTTCTACTTCTCTTTTGACTAGCTCAAATATTTTAGGTTCCAATTTCTTTGCTTTGTTGTTGTTGGTGGTGGTGATGTTGTTTTGAAGATTCCATCGTATTAATTTTTTCCCGTTAAAACACATTGAATTGCAGCTGAAACCTGAGTAACTCAGTAATCGGTACCAAACGTGGTGGCAAACAGCCAGACCTCAAGGATAACATTTTAGGATTAGGGCTGTCTGACCTGCTTTAGGCTTACAGCAATGAGGATGAGACTAACATTAGAGAGTGGAACTGTAATAATTTAGGGCACATAATGTCAAAACTGCCACTTAAATCATCAGCTGTGGTTACCTGGAAGAAAATGCCTACTGAAGGCATAGCTATGGAGGACGAAGCACTTGACTAACATAATGCTTGTACTGGGCATGCAAAAGACAAGGGTTCTGAAACTCTTGCTTCTCACAGCACTGAAAAATCGAAGAAAGAAAACAACAGGATTCTTTCAGTTCAATGATCAAGGTACAGAGACAAAACCAGTAAGTTTCAAAACTATCATAAAAATATACCGTATTGCCTAAAACCTTACAATGAATTTGTTAACTAGTGCATGATAAATTGTTATGTAGGTTGAATGCACAGACTTCTTTGGTAAAGTTACTCATTGAAAAAAAAAAAGTGACACCTGAAAATTGGAATGATGACATTTAGGTAATTCTGGGGTCCACAGATTCCACATTCCACTGAGCCTTTCTAGACAGCAGAGACAGTTCCTCTTCCACCGTCTGATGAAATCTGTCTTGCCTTAATTGGCAGTCCATTAAGACTTTAATTTAGGTACTTACCTTTCAAGTGCCTGTCAGTTTTCTTCATTCCTATCTCTTGTCAATGAGTGTTGATCTATAATTACATTCAGATGCCAGCATATCCCAGTGTGCCAGTTAAGAAGTTGAACCTGAGATGTCAAAAGTGTTTCATGGTTTTCAAATCCATATCCTCAAGCCATGGGTAATTTGTGGACGAGTTTGCTAAACTAAGATGGGAGGAAAAAAATGTTAAGTTCAAAGTATTACACCTAGCAACTAGGAATCTCTTTCTTTCCGTCTTTCATCTAGATCTCTGAAACAGATTTAGTGGTGGTATACTCAGCATGAGATTAAATTACCAGAGATTTCTGGGTATAGTCAAGTACTATTGTGTCTAATACAGTATCCACTAGCTAAATGTATCTATCAAGGTACTGTGTCTCCTCCAAATCAAGATGTGGTTTAAGTGTAAAATACACATCAGAGTTTGAGGACCTAGTGCAAAACAAAAGCAAAAGATCATTAATAGAGATTATATTGATTACATGTTGGAGTTATAATTGTTTTAATGTAGTGAATTAAAGAGAATATTAAATATTTTTAAAGTGTATTTTTCATTTTAAGTTATGTTTAATGTTTATTTATTTATTGGCAGGGGGTAGGGGGAAGGACAGAGAGAAAGGAGAGAATTTTAAGCAGGCTCCAGGCTCAGCACACAGGGCACCACCTCAGAAACCGTGAGATCATGAACTGAATTGAAATCAAGAGTCAGATGCTCAACCGACTGAGACACCCAGGTGTCTCCAAAATGTTTTTTGTTTTGTTTTGTTTTGTTTTGTTTTGTTTTGTTTTTTAGTGTGGCTACTACAAAATTGAAAATTCCATATATGGCTAACACTAAACTTGTATTTGATATTGTATTTCCAGAATAAAGAATCTAAAGAGTTAAAGAAACTGTGGTGTGGAATTCACTTTAACATGTATGTCTGGTTTACCCAACTATTAACTAAGACCCCCCAACAAGGGCCAGGGGTTTCTGCCAATACTGGGCAATTTATTGGTAAGAAGAAGGACAACATCCTTGAAAGGAGCATAAAAGGCTGTATTTTGGAATCCCTTAGTACAGTTGGGAGGTCGTAGCCATTGAAGTAGCCCTGAGTCCTCAGTGGGCATGATGACTCCAGCTTTCATGTATCATTGGCCAGCTTTCACAGTTACTGGAATGGACAACAAGGTGCAGTGAGAGTCACTGTCCTGTCAACTTTGGTTCAGGACACAGCATTTGTTCTAAACCGGTCACCAGCAAATAATTCTGTTTCTTCCATACCAATGACATTTAGTTCATGTATCAAAGAGTACATGCAGGAGAGGCACAAAAATTTAATTTCCTATTTACAGGTGTTAGTATTTAATGCAGAAATGATTCCATCAGCATTGACACATTGGCTTTAATACCTTCCCCCCAGATAGACTGAACTTTACACAGGCTTTTTCTGAATCTAGGCTCTAAATTCCCTTTCTGAGAGCATTCATTTTAGAAAATTTCAAATTGTTCTTTCTTAAGCCACCTCTTTGCAATATAAATCATCTTTATTTAAAACTTTTTATTATTTATTTATTTTGAGAGAGAGAGAGAGAGAGAGAGATAAAGAGCAAGCACGGGAGGGGCAGAGAGAGAGGGAGACAGAGAATCTCAAGCAGCCTCTGCACTGCCAGTGCAGAGCCCGACATGGGGCTCAAACTCACGAACCATAAAATCATGACCTGAGCCCAAATCAAGAGTTGGACGCCAACCAACCAAGCCACTCAGGTGTCCCACAATATAAATATTTTTTGAACAGTCTTGCCAGTTTTGCAATCAGGCATGTCTTTCTCAATGACCTGGGTGCCATCTCTTTGAAATGCAGTATGAAAGGGACAGGGCCCCTTATATCCTAGTTTCTGTGGGAATGAATGTGGGGCACTAACTATGAAAGACACCTTCCTCCAACTTGTAAAACTCCTTCCTTTCATGAAAATAGCAGAAAGTTCACTTTACCTTTGAATAAATCCCTTTAGCAAATGCAAATGGCTTATGATTCCTCTTTCCCCAGCTCTTAAAATCTCTTTGACCTTTTTGTATTTAGTGGAGTTAAGCTCGGGCTGATTCCAGCGTCTCTCTCCTATTGCAATAGTTTTGAATAAAGTCTCTCTTGCTCTCTAACTTTGTTCAGTACAATTTTTGTTTTGACAGGATATTCAGTCATGCTTGCATTGATATAGAAGTCTAGATTGACTGCTAGCCATTGTAGTCTTAGCATAGCATAGGACTAATAGGAAAAAAAAAAAGAAAGAAGGAAATGTGGCATAGACTAAAGTGGTTATTTTTCTTATTCAAATGTGCTACATTATGCATATGAGGAAGATTATGCCAGGATCTTGTGGTGTGTTCTTCTCTGCCTCATAGTACTGCCATTCCAGTCATAATGTTAATGAAAAACTATAGCAACCCAATGCAATCAGGCCCCGAAGGCTAAGATTACCCCAGAATGAAGATTTGAACCATGCTGCAAAAGGTAAAACACTGACCACCCAAGCTGCATCGAGGTAATTAACTAGAATAACTGAGCACAAAAGGAATATAAGAATGGAAAAAGTAAATGTGGGAAGACTGATGGAGGAATGTTTTAGTTCATTTAAACTACAGTCCAGTGACAAGATAAAGAAATAAGGGTCTTTGGGTCTCAGATTCACACTCATCCTTCCATATTCTAGTTAGTTTCAAGTTAAGTTCTGCCTATGGGAGACATTTATGGAGACTGAAAGAGAGAGAAAGGGAGTAATCACGTTTTTGTTCTTGTTTCTTGCTCCGATTGGGGCCCTGTGCTTATAAAAAGCAAGAACTGAAAGCACATATGAACACAATCTAACAATTATAAACCTATCTCACAAATAAATATGTTAATATCCTAAATAAGATACTACCGAATTAAACATGGTAACAAATTGAGTGATTAATAAAATCTGAGAATATGATTTGTCTATTAAAAATCTAGTCATGTCACAATAATAAAGTCTATGATTTTTAACATAACTCACTGAAAGATAATTGGGAGACATTTTATTATGTAAATAGGTGATGCTAAATCGTTCTGTAGAGAGTAAAATAGTATTGTTCAGGGGAAAATAATTATTTAATTACTTGGGATAGAAGATGAAACTTCAAGAGATTGGATATGTGCAGAACTAACAAGGTATGGGGAAAGGCAGACAATTCTGAAGCTCTGAACAGAGCCTGGGTGGGGATATCAGACAGCTCACTGGAAAGATGTGTTTAAAAGCCTGAGAAAATACAGAGATGCTCCTCAGGAATTCTTCCAACGATTGAACGCCCAGACAGTGTGGAATGGTATGGGATTCAATTTAATTTTACTTTGTATTTCTGGGCCACATTTGTATCTGGGTTATAAATTTCCTTGGCTCATCATGGGTCAGCTGTATTAAGGTACAGTTACTGGATACATGTGAAATTAAATAAAAATCCTAGAATTCTTCATGGAAGCAGAGATTATTGCTAACTTGATCTAGACTGCCCTGTGAACATGCCAAGTCTGAAGAAATTTTTAAAGCCTTCTTTTAGGTAAGTTTAAGTGTCTTGGGGGGTTATGTGTTCCTGCATACCTGCAGTGGTTCATGTGTGTGACTAGCACTGTTAGAAGGTTTGTTTTGGACAAAAGCCAAGAATGCTTAATATAGGATGAATTTCAAAATATTTGTGATTCAAATATGTGTCTACATATATTTTTTCAACATTTCTTTGAGGTAAAATTGAAGTGCATATCATATATGCTTAGCTGCCAAGATGAAAATCACCTGGAGTCTTGGATCCCACTGTGTGATTTGTGATTATACAAACACTGCTTCTTCTCTAGAGGCTATATATAATATATCAGAAGCCAGCAACATTCTTGGAAAGTGCAGTGTCAGGGAAGGGGAGGAGAGTTTTAAATTGTGGTCCAATGTACAACAGGAGAGGACTTTCACTCCTGAAGGCAAATAGAAGAAAGAGATTGATAAACAGTTTCTAGGGCCTGACACTAGTAGTTAAATGTTGTCTCAAGGTTGCTGATGGCTCAGAGTCCTGGCAGATTGCCTCGTAAAAGTCAAATGGATCTTCCCTACTGTGGAAAGACATAAGCCAATTTTTTTATCATGAACCAACACTTAGGAGAAAACACATACATTGAGATTATTAAAATATATTTCATGATGTATTTTGCAACAAACAGCACAAAATTCTTTTGAATACTGTATGGTTAAGTAGATTAGCTATGAGTAATTGAACACTGGAGAATTTTGAACTGGACTTCATAACAGATGCTCAGCTTTCCTGATAGAACTGAAGATCCCCTAACTCTAGTATTAGAAAAATTATTTTCGTATTAAGGAGAGAGCAGTCTCACTGTAGTGAACAAATGGACTCCCTTACACCTCAACTCTGAGGGAAAGAAATTTAGCTTGTGTTCTAAAGAAAGAGAAGCATCTGACCTCTGATGACAAGGAGAAAAAGTATACATAAGAACCCACAGGTGGGACAAAATGGGCATATTTGAGGTTCTGGAAAATAGCTTGTATGTGGAATGCTTGGTGAGCAAGAGGAAGTTCAAGATAAGGTTGCAAAGGTAGGAAGGGGCTTGATCATACCAGCTTTGGGGTTTAGGTTTTGTTCAAGATACAATGAGAAGCCACTGAGGAATTTTGAATAGAGTAGCTGAAATCATCATACATGAATGTGGGGGTGAGGAACCAGAAGCTCAATAGATTAAAGTAGTGACCCCGAGAAGACTGCAGAGCCAGTGCTATTGGTCTCAGAAAAGCTGACATGTTTGTAGGAGAGAGGAGGCTGTTGAGTCCAAACACTCCACCACTGCAGGAGGTTTAGGGCTAGGGATTTGGGTATCTCTTGTTGAGAAGAGTGCAGGAAAAACAAACAAACAAACAAACAAACAAACAAACAAATAAAAAAACAGCTTCAAGTCAAGACAAGATTGTATAGGGATAAGGAAGTTAACACGTAACAGTGTCATACCAACAAAAAATCACAGTTTTTCAGTTGAAAAGTAAACATTTCAGAGTCAAAATTCAGGTAAAATAGCAACCAATAGAATCCTGTTCCAAAATGCATAGAAATGTCATAAATCCCTCCTTTTATCTCATTCTGCCAGTTGCTAGGGTATGTCATTATCTT